ATGAGAATAGAAACGGAATAAAACAAGTTTCGTTAAAATCGGGCCACGGGTTACCGAGTTAGCACCATTTTTCGGGTCACTTTTATGAACATTTCTAGCATGAGTAATTTTACATCACACTACCATTTGTGCTCTTTATGAAACTTCTTTGTTCAAATCTATTTCCTTGTCAATGTTCCCATCTTCTTTGAAAAATGAAATGGTCTTTCCTTTTATTCCCGATCAACAATCAAATATCTTTTCTTGAATTATGAATAACACGAATGGATTGAAATATTTAATTAAATTATCTCAAAATAAACCTTCATTTCGGTGCAATATTGAAATTAGCTCTGAATAGTGGGTGACCCCACGGATCACGGGTGGTCTAGTATTAAATACAATTGGGTTTTTAGTGCATTAAAATTTGTAGAAACAGGTGTAATTTGACTGGATGGTTCAGTTAGTCAAGTGAGAACAAAACAAACACCACTTTACACATTTTTTTTTTCTGCTGAATAAATGCTTCCCTTGGTCTATAAAACATTATTTAAAGTAGTTAATATAAATTAATCTTACTATTAAAATAGATATATATTTCTGAAAACACTAAATAGAGTATATTGCTTTTACTATCCAAAGTCATAAAATTTGTTCTGTTCTCAAACAGATGTGGCAAATATTGAGTTAATACAAACAAAAGGATCTTTTATCCACTTTGATTTGTACGTATTTCAACATCAATTCAGCCATTTGGAGTTTGATATCACTTAGACAGAGGTTTTCTGTTTGACAGACAAAAAAATTAAAACTGCATGTATATTTTGCTTTATCTGTTAATTTTTAAATATACATATTTCTACTTGACAGAAACCAACTGGGAACATTAAAAATGTTAGTATTACCTATCAACTTTTTTAAAACCACTTTCGAAAATTAGAATAAAATAAATTACTGTATAATGCTTGTTTATTTTACAGAATTTTCACATAAAAAGCTATTTCTACATAGCTGTTCCTAATTATGAAATGACAGATTAGCAGAAAGGCAGCTAGTCATGAGTATACACTGCCAATTTAGGTTACACTTGCCTGACCAAGTAGTGGGATCTGACTGTCACTCTTATAGTGTGACCATAGAGTGGAGCTTAGTTTTGCATCAACAGAACACAAAGCATGAATCTTTATATTCACAGTCTGGGCACACCAGCTACTAAGCAACAACCGGCCCTTACTTACTCATTTTAATATATAAAAACATAAATCATTGTGTACAGATATTCCCCAACAGTTGACCGTTATTCTTTTAACGTATATTTGGGTACCTTTTTTGTCAGTTTGAAACACACTAATACATTTAACTCAAGTCTGCAGAGAATTACTATGATCTTCATAAGATTGCTGCATAGGTACATTTGGTAGTTAACTCCTTGTCATACCTTTAAAAGACACATAAGGTCGGTTCCAATGTTAATATATCTAGAATAACTGTAATCTGTGTTTTAATTGTTCATCATTGTTTAAAATCAAACCAAAGAAACATGTCAGGTAGTACTCTGATTTTTTTCATTAATCTTTTTGTCTAATAACAGAATATAAGGAGATCATTAGACTTAACAACACAAATTTACTATGTTCTATATATTTATCTTCATACAAACACTAAAATTCCTTCAAAGAATCAACCTTATTAAAAACATCAGAATTAAGTTCAATATCGTGCTTGACCTCCGAGCTTTCAACCTGAAATTCATTCAGACTTTTACTGTTTCAAAAAGAGTTCTACTAAGGTTTCATTATCCCCCCCCCCAAAAAAAAACACGAAAAAACTGGACCTTCAAGATACGGTATCATATAGAAGTTTAGGAACAACAGTTAGACATGACGTTTTATTAAGTCTATCAAAATCTGATTTACAACTGGTTTTGGGGAAAATTATATAAAATATATTGTGAAAATCACAAAAAGAAATATAATATCTCAACACAACTTTTAAAAACTTTTTGGGTCTTCTAACACTTAATATAGACAAGCAATAATAAAAAAAAGAGAAATAAAGAACACACATCACCCTTATACATACTCAAATATATGTGTGCACTTTAGCCTAAAAATGGATACTGTACAGAAGCTAAAATCTTACATTAAATAAATGTTAAAGTCACGTAGAACCCGTTTATCGTCTATTAAATGTGCAGTTTCTAGCAAGTTTAATACCTGGCATCTAATCATTACATGAGTAACTCGGTCATCTGTTCGAACAGACAAAACATAGTCTCCAGGTTTACTTTGACTTTCTCGTACTAAGAAGCTACCATTTTTTCCTTTTTCCAACACCAGCTTCTCGGTTTCCTTCCCTGACAAAGGTCCATGAAACCAACTGAAATTCATATAGAAACTTGTATTTAGTTACTCAACTCAACTCAAAATTTAATATATATATATATATATATATATATATAGAAAAAGATTTTTAACAGAAGAATAAACTTCATCCTCCATTTTTCAAAAGTCACCATGGCACTAATAACATCTATATAACATAATTTTGATTTACTTGTGTTACTCTAAGCACACCATGAAACATACTTTAATCATTCAAATTCTGTCAGAGGGCTGTAGTAACAGAGAAAATATTAGTGGAAAATTTAGGTTTTAAACTGCCCAGAATAAAATATGTAGCCCAAAATCTGCCCTATCAGGCATGCAGTATTGTCATTCCAGTTACAGTTCGGTGCCGTACATTATCCAAAAAGTAGTGGATGTTAACTTCCACCATACTGCTTACCGATCGGTAGTAGGGTCTGCACAGTTAAGAGGATACCTCAATTCAATAACCTCTCCACTTTTTTCTCGTAACTGACCCTGATTTTCCATGTAGTACTGCACCAGCTCAGCTAGAGTGGCAAACTTCTCTCCACCATACAGATCATAAAAGTCACCCGTGTTTTGAATCTTGATGTGTGTAACTTCTCCATTTCTCCTGTAAAAATTAGAATAATGCCATGAAAAATATAAGACTGTTCACATTATCAGATAAACTTTATTTTACTTCAAGTAACACAAGTTAAAGAAAATATGTTTCTCATATCAAACGAATATACCCAGTGGGAACAGCTTTAAAGCCTCACTTGATGTTCCTAAGTTACAGTAATGTTAAGCTTGGCTATATTAATATCTAAATGTAATTTTTTTTCAATTGAATTCATGTGTTGGCAAACACGACTTTACAAGTAACCAGAACTTGCTGAAACCATGGCACCAGATTGCCATGATGGCTTATTAAAATGGTTAGGAGTTTGATAATTGTTTGTGAATTTTTCATTAAAAAGAGGTGTTGTTTTTTTTTCCTATAATTATACATCAGAAAAAAGGCTGGTAAACTATTTGCATTTCCTATAAATATTAATACATCATAAAGGAATTTAAAACTGACATAAATACTTTTAGATTTCTGATATTTAATTACTAGCTTATAAACAAGCATATTAGCAGGTGAAGGTTCTTGGTTGCCAAAACAGTTGATGTTCAAAGTTTCTGTTTCCTTTATAGGACTGTCAAAGTATTTTTAAAAACACTGAATTGCACAAAACAGCTGCACGTGTATATTTTATTTATATCTAAAATGCGTAACTTTCATAAAATTAGAAATTGGGCCAAACATCTTCTTGGGACAAGGTGGAGATACCCCCCCTTTCCCCTCACTGGGTTGAGCTGCTATCTTTGCTCCTAAATGTTAAGAGATACTTGGAAATCCTTGATTGTTTGTTTGTTTGTTTTTGAATTTAGTGCAAAGCTACACGAGGGCTATCTGCACTAGCCGTCCCTAATTTAGCAGTGTTAGACTAGAGGGAAGGCAGCTAGTCATCACCACCCACCACCAACTCTTGGGCTACTCTTTTACCAACGAATAGTGGGATTAACCGTCACATTATAACGCCCTCACAGCTGAATGGCGAGCATGTTTGGTACGACAGAGATTAGAACCCGCTACCCTCAGATTGCGAGTCGAGCGCCCTAGCCACCTGGCCATGCCGGGCCCGGAAATCCTTGAAGGGAAGAAAAACCCAAAAGAAAATATAAAAGAAAGGAAAACTTAAGCCACAATGAGTGTGTCTATAGAGAAGATATCCAAACATATTACAAAAGATCTGTAGAAATCACACACACAAACGTGTATAAAACAGTAAAAGCATGACAGCAATTAAAACAGAAGAAAAAAGCCATCAATAAATTAAAAAAGACAAATGTTCAAAAGATTTAAACTGTCATAGCATCTTTCTAGTTAAAAGATGTAAAGAAACTTGTTACGAAAAAAACAGAAGAAACAAAGAGAGAATCCATACATTCTATAAAAAATTTATTACAAAACTCAGAACCAAATAAAAATAATATTATATCTGGTTATCATAGATGTTTATAAACTATAATATAGTGAGAACTGAATAACCACACACAACAGAGGTGTGGGCTCAAGTGTTACCTGAGCAGAAGACAGAAATAACTAACCTGACCTGAAAAATTATCAATCATGCTATGTAACCCAAAATTCAGTTTTTAAGACTTATGGGAACATCCAGTAAAAGAATCTTAAAACCAAAATGACATCAATTCCTCAACACAGCACTCCAACCCTAAAGAGGGGGTGGTATCTAGGAAATGATGAAGACTGAAAGGAAGAGGAAGTAAAGGAGATTCTGCTGTCATGATAATGGTTTTGAAGTCAGGTGTCTTGTACGTGTACAATTTGATACCATATGCTATATGAACTACATTCAGAACTAGTAGAAGTAAACATAAGTGGAAGATTAAGACATAATTGTTAGTTAATTTCTTTTAATACCTGTGCGCTAAATGATTTCTTGATACCTAAGCTATTATGAAAATGATATGTTTATACGAAAGCCAGACTTCTCTAATTTAGTATTCCAAAACTTGTACTACTGTAATATCACTTTCTTAAAGACACCAGGAAATTTCTTCAAGTTTTTCCTAGTCTATGCAAAAAAAGTACTTTATGGAGTTTAACCTTAGTAATGGTTCATTTCCCAGACTATTTAGACCCGTGATCCATATCTAGAATTCATTTTTAATATTTCACTTATTTTAGTACATTTACAAGAAATATTATTTACATGTAGCGGGTTCTTACTAGCTACTTTTATATTTGGCATATGATTCACAAAGATTTTGAAGAAATTAAACCTAGCAGGTTTTTGTAAAATTATATTATTATTATTATTTAAAAAAAAAGAAAAAAAAAGAAATGAGGTCAGATATTATGAGACCACCCACAAAATTCTTTATAAACAAAAGTTCTGCTTCTTTATACAAGTACTAATAACAACAACATAGTCACCAGTTAGGTTTACTCACGTTACTTTTACAGATATACATAAAGCTAAGCCTATCTCATTTAGTAACTCACTGATACATTCGAAACCACTAAGTCCACTAACTAGCTAACTGTACATGAACTCCTAGTAATAGCACTCTTAAGTGCTTGTAAACTCTAGCCTTCCTAAAGAATTAACACTGTTTACATGCTCATTTTAACAGTTCTAAATTTAATAAACATTTACATCATATTTAAGACTATTTTTATTGGAAAATCCAAGCTAAAAATTACTTCAGAACAACAATGTCTACTGGATTAAAGAAATATTTATATTACAAAAAATGCCACTAAGAAATAACATGCAAATACAGTAAGTTCACAGCAATAGAGTTTAGTCAGTTTGCACCATAACTAAAAAATAATAATATTTAAAGGACTAAAGACTGCCAAAATAAATTAATCATGAACAATCTAGAAGATTTTATTACCTCACAGATAATGTAAAGTCTCCCGGATTCGACTTGCTAGGACGAGCCAAAAAACTTCCATCAAAACCTCTTTCCATTAGCATTTTTTCTGCTAGCAGCCCCGTAATGTTGGGATGAAACCACCTACCATGTCTGAAAAATTAAGCAGTACGTAATATATATATACTATCAATAAAAATATTCTTAGGTATTTACTACTGATAACTGTGTTACTTACTAGTACTAGTCACACTGGACGTAATGACATATCTCTTACAGAAACATCCCAAATCAAAAGCAGAACATGATTTTGGGCAAGATTTATGTTAAAACTCAATTGGTCATCCCGTATCCAATTATGAACATCTGTTGGGTAAACCACAAACTATGAATGTGTCAGGTGGGTATGTTAGTTGTTTCTTGTTTGCAATTCTTTAATTAATATTAAATTGTGATTCTGCAGTTCCATTTCCCGAGAAGAAACTTCTGTTGTGCCACGAGATTTTTCCTACAAAACAGCCTCTTCTTGACTCCGTAAAGATACGATAGTTAATCATTCCTAGACTTCACTTCTTTCGGCACTTTTTAATTTGCCAGGGTTCACTGGGATTTGCACAACTTTGTGTGCCAGTAAAATTAGAATTATATATATATATATATATACACGTACATACAACTTCATCAGATCAGCTAACAACTCACTCACTTCTCTCTGTTACTATACTTCCCGTTCTTTTGTGAAGGAGGTCAATATTACATCACAAACACGAAAATTATATTAAAAAAAAAGGTAATCTTAAAAACTAAATTTAGAAAAAAAACAATGATTATTTTATACACGATTCTATAAAAATGAGATTCTTTCCAGTCTCCAAATTACTAAAATAATAACTTACTGTACAAGGTTAAAAAACCCCGATGAGACTGGAAAACAATCTCATACACTCTACATGTTTTGACGAATACTCTTGCATCATCCTCAGGAGTGTAATGTTTTGCAAAAAATAACACTGATTTATACAATTAACAATTTATACAACTATTAGTATACAAATCTTGACTTTCATATGGTAATTTAAGGAAATACATATATATATATGTACTGATAAGTAAACACCAATATTAACATTTGTCATCAACAATATTTTACAGTATTTTCGTTTTAAACATCAAATTAAACAACTAACAGTTTTCCTGGATGTACGTCGAGTTTAATTTTATCCTTTTAACAAACCATTAAAAAACTTACATTTTCTACATTGGAACTTCTCTTTACAGCTTGTACATATATATACATATTACATGTGTGTGTGTGTGTGTTAGAAGATGAGGTTTACAGGTATATAACTGCCAAAACCACCTCTATACTCTACAGCTCTACTAGTGTAGGCTTTTTCCCAAGGTCAACCCACATGCATGTGATGCAAGGCATATGTGTATGTGTGTGTGTGTTTACATGCTAGTAAAACACACCTACACATGTAAAAACTACTACCCACACTATCCTAATAGCAAGAACATGTGAGCTTCATAATGAAACTTGCCATTTCAATGTTTCAATTTGAATTTACCAGTTCTGTTGCAGCAACAAACAAAAAGCCTACACCTGCACAAGTATGGCATTTAGAGGAATACAGGATATATATTTCAAAGCAATTCATGTTTGCTCTAAAATTTACCATAGTGTTTGTCAGCTCAACACTAGTATAAAACACTTACATATAATACATGTTACAGCTGAAGAATTTCTTTGATTCACATTTTGTGACTCAGGTTCACTTTGAGTTTATTAACTACTGTAAACTACAATTACTTTAAAGCCATAATCATGCATTACCACAGTTTGCAAGAATAATGTTTGTGAATTACAAGTAACACTTTTGGCAATAACCAGTCTGTAACTGTTCTTAATAAAGCTCAACATTTAAGAAACATGTTTGTACAAACTGCATGATGTTTTATTGTTGCTAACAATCTAATGGCAGAAAAAAAAAAACATTATCAGTATTGTACAGAATAAGAAAATACATGTTTGATGTAACTACTCATATACTTATAAGTTTAAGATGTAAATTGCTAGTGTTTTCATATCGAGCATAGTTCTATTATTGTGAATGGCAATACGTTTAATTATGAACCAGCCATAGCTAATAATTCTATACTATTATAACGAATGCTTCATGTATATAACAACAAACATCAAACTTCTTGAATGAAGAAAAAAGTCTTTTTCCAGTGCAAGTAATTTTTGGTATATACTTTATTGTTTTGACTTCCCAATTATATTGGACTAGTTTACTGAAAAAAAATACAGGATTGTACTCTATGTTAATTTTTTTCTTCTTCCATTCACTAAATTCTTTTTATTTCATATTCATGCATCTGAATCCGTTGCAAGCAGACAAACATTTTAGCACGATTATCACCTATCATTTTCTTCAGTAATAAAAAAAGATGATGTTACACATTCTAAATTTATGTGTGTAGGAATTTAGTCATAACAAAATCATTATCAAACTATGCAACCACATGGTGCTGACTCATCTTATATAGACTGTTTTATACGTCTACTGGCATACATGTACACTTGAATTCAAATTAACTAAACTTCTAAGAAAGGTACATATGGAACTTTTGCAAGATAAAATACAATTTTTTTTTCCTCCTCCTACAAAACAACATCATGATGGTTTTTCAATTAAACTATATATATATCATTTGATTCTAGATAACGCAATGAAATCAAAATTCAGTTTTTTCACTTCTTCAACTTACTTCAATTCTGGGGTTACTTTGGGATTCTGTGACTCATGGTTAAGGAGTCTTGAGTGAAAATCAAACTTAAGAGGGTTTAGTATTCTTGAGTGACTGGTAATGTGAAACCACCAATATATTTTAAAATATATTTAACTTATATTTATCATTCTGGCATCCATCTTTGAAATGTCTTATTTTGATTTTTACGGTAATGAATAAAAATGAAATAGAACGTGCAAACTGAAATGTCAGTGAAAACAGAATTAAGGTCATGTGAACTTTGGGGACAATCATTCATACACTTTTCAGATACTTTTTCCAAAATTCATATAAATATGTTACAAATGGTGCACTCTTTATAATGCCTTGCTCAATTTAAATGATTTAGTATACAAGATGATGTCAATAAGACTACAGTTTTCATGTAAAACTTAAGTGTCTAAGCCCTTCAATAAAAACAAACTGATAAAAAAAGAAGTTTAAATTGGACACTTTTATTAATTTTTAATATTTTTCATGATTAAAATGATTTTTTTTTCACACATATCTACACATGTTACATGTGAAAAAGTCTAAGCAAAGAAATTCTACAATGAAAATTTTTATTTGAATGTTTTTTACTATATACAATTGTATGTACAATGCATACACACAACTGAAATGTATGAAGCAGTCTCAAGTTATAACAGATAAAGAGTTAATGGGTAATAGGCATTTATTATCACTCAAAACCATGTTTCGCTAAGACATTACTAGCATTATTATCATCAATCTATAATGTTTCACATACACTTAGACCCTATTTCTAATCCAATTACAGTAAATACAGCAGGCTTTAAAACAACTTTTGGCATCTTCATGTTGAGTTCTGCAGAAAATTTGTCTTACATTTTGCTAGTGGCTCTCTCAGCCATTTTAACATCATTGGGTGCCATTTCTTTTATTCGAACCAAGATTTCAATGAGGTACATTGTGTATTTAGTCTGCTCAAAATTTTATATTTTTTTAGACTGAAATACAGCTTAGTTAATAAGCTTGATAGATTATAATGGAATTCAATGGTACTGATATAATAATTTATGATTTCTTGGTTATTCAACTGTATATATTAAACCTAAAAAAATTATTTTGTTTCAAATCCTCCACGTGCAAAATTTTAAAAGGCTTAGCAACCTACATTTAGCAGAAACCAAGTACAAAGGTCGTAACTAGAAGATATAATTGTTTGCTTTACTTCTTTATTTGCTGTTCTATGTTTTAAGAAAAATTAGTTT